CCAATAAACATGGATTTCTTCATGTAGGTTCTACCAACAGGTTTATTATTATTTTTTTCAGGAAATGTTATCCTTCGTAGCCTCCAATCAATGGACAGATTATGATCTTCTAACCAAGAAAGACCAAGGATAACAGGGCTTGATGGGGTTCTAATAATATTAAAAATAATGTGACTACTATGGTCCTTAAACACCACTTCTATAGGTTCTGATTCGTGGGTAACGTTGCCTGACAATAAGGGTCGTCCATCTATCACCTCTACGTGAACAGGTTTGGACTTCTGTACTAAACGGATCTTGTGGCGTTTAGCAAACCCTTCATCTAAAAAACAAGTAGATGCCCCCGAATCCAATAAAGCTAAAGTTTTTTGTTTTTGAGGGCCTAAAAACAAAGGAATTGTAAAACAACGGGCAGGTTGGACAGAGAAGGAGGAACCTGATTGTTGTCGTGATATTAGATTGTCCAGCCGCACGGTTCCTACTGTGGCTGGGCGTCGTCGTTTTCCGGAATCATCGCACTTCTAGTCTTGACAGGGTGCCAATTTTACTTCTTTGGGCAATTTCCAACCTTGTGACCTTCTTCTCCACAGTACAAACATAATCCTTCCTCCATATGCCGTTTCTTCTCTGTTGGAGTAAGAGATCGGACACGCGCCGTGTCGATTTGCATGTCTGTTGCCTCCGAATGTGAGTTTAAGCTATTTGCAGACATAGTCACGTCGTAACGAGTCATTTGGTGTCTTAGACGTTGGTCTTGGCGACGCTGGAATAGGCGGTTGTCACACTTTACAGCTTGGCTAATAGCTTCGTTGAGCGTTTGAGGATCAGGAAGAGATAACAGCAAGTCCTTCACATCATCCTTCAAGCCCCAATAAAACTGACTCACCAACGCCTCTTCACCCCAATTAATGTCACTTGCCAATTGTCTGAAATCCGAGGCATAGACTGATGCAGAGCGTGTTCCTTGTCGTAGCGATCGGATCTTTGTTGTAGCCCATCGAACTTTATCATGCTCGCCAAATGCTTCTGCAAACGCCTCCAAGAACGTTTCAAAGTTGCTCAGGATTGGCGATCGCTTCTCGAACAAGGGAGTAAACCAAGACAGAGCTTGTGCTGTAAGCAAGGTTCCAACAAGCCCAACACGCACTTCCTCCGTCGGATAACGTTTGGGCTGTAAAATTGTTATCAACCTGATTTGGTTGACAAAACCTCGAAACTTGGAACGAGTTCCATCAAACTTATCCGGAAGACTAACTCGAGGCTCCTTTCGTTGTAGGACTACTCGATCTTGTTGAAATGGAGGTAGAACTGCTTCTTCTGGCGCAGAAGTTTGACGCTGATATGCTTTAGATGGCGCTATCCCAGATGCTCCATTGTTATGGAGTCCTACCATGACTCCTTCGATCTCTGTTGTCCTATGTGACAACGAGGCAAGAGCATTTATGATGGCGTCTAGTTTGGATTCCAAACTTTCAGCCATTTTAACGTCTTAACCTTCGGCTAACCTTCAGAAAGAAGAAAAAAGAGTTTTGACAAGAGGACAATATTGGTTCAGAGGAGAGTACTCCGCAACCTCTAAAACGCCTTAAGACTCCAAGATGAGGGGTAATCCACTCTCTCCAAGAAGAATAAGGCTCCAATATTGAGAAAGAAGAGATATCAGTTTAGAGGAGGGTAATCCGCAACCTCTAAAACACTAGCACACCTTCAAGAAGAGGGGTAATCCACTCTCTAACAAGAAGGAACTAGCTCTGATACCAGTGAAAATGCAGTCTCGACAAACTGTCACGGACACAAAATATAGACTTGAAATCTAACAAGAAGTTCAAGAAGAAGTGGCAGAACTAGATTAAACAGATGAGTACAAGAACAACACCAGAAAGGTGAGCTAGAACTCCAAGAGATGTGTTGTCGAGACTGAAGAACCCTTCAGCCTCGACTCCTATATATACTACTGAATAGGAAGCTTCTCGAGCTACTTCCGCTAACTAGGACGCTTCTCCAACAACTTCTACTAATTAGGAAACTTCTCGAGCAACTTCCTAGAATCTATCAGAATATTCTAGAACCTTCTAAGAATATTCTAGAACCTTCTAAGAGAATCTTTAGGGAATATTCTAAGAATCTTCTAGAACCTTCTAAAGGAATCTTTAGAGAATCTTTAGAGAATATTCTAGAAGAATATTCGAAGAATCTTCCAATGTATGTCCATGACACTGAAAATCTCACCAATGCGCCGCAAAAGGCACAAGAGTTTCATCAACAATATCCTCATAAGCCTAAGCCGGTTCGACGATAGCTTCCTTCTAAAGCTTGTTTACCTAAGAATATAAGAAAGGGGGAGAGCACCACCAAAATTCGTAGTTGATGTAGTTATTTTCTCCAAGATAAAATAGAATTTCTTCAGTAGCCATAGTTTGGTCTTCTGATATGGATAGCCAAGAGATAGATACTATGCCAGTCAGATTATCTCAACCGACTAGCTCACGAAGGCGACCCCGAGCTGAAGAACCACCTACACCATGATGACGATGGAGGATACGGAGTAACCGATCACTGGTGATTGTATTCGAGTTCGAGCCTGCTTACGATGGTCAGCCAGAAGGCGTATTTGCAGGACAATTTCACAATGAGGACACGGAAGTTCATGCTTGGTCAGAAGTTGAAGGAGTGGGCGACTACCGTTAGCTTCAAGGATTGATGAACCACTTGCCTTGTGAACAACAGTTGGAGTTCATAGCAGATGTTATGCGACAGATCTTCATTTTCTTGTGTTGGTATTGATTAACAACAACATTGCTTCTCAGAGACCTCGAAGCTAAAGAAGGGGGTGATGTTAGGGACATAGTCTTTAGAACCTTCTAGAGACAAGTTTCTAAAACCTTCTAGAAGCAAGTCTGTGGAACCTTCTAGAAGCTTCTTAGTTGGTAGAAGATGTTAGGGACATAGTCCTTAGAACCTTCTAGAGACAAGTTTCTAAAATCTTCTAGAAGCAAGTCTCTGGAACCTTCTAGAAGCTTCCTAGTTGGTAGAAGTTGCTTGAGAAGCTTCCTAAATAAGAGTATATATTGGAATCGAGGCTAAAGAGTTTTTCAGTCTTGACAACACATCTCTTGGAGCTCTTGCTCACCTCTCTGGTGTTGTTCTTGTATTCATCTGATTAATCTAGTTCTTGTCAGTTCTTCTTGAACTTTTTGTTAGATCTCGAGTCTGTATTTCTGTGTCCGTGACAATAAGTCCCACATGAAACACCATCTTAACCTCAATTCTAGAAGCTTCTAAAAAATAACTCCAATTACATATCTTTATGTGTAAATAATACAAGCATCCTATTCACACCCTATTACATCTCTATTGGCTTAGGTCCCACCATTGAAGGCTAAGTCAGCCTAAGCTTTGACAAAAAAGGCCTTGCCAAATAGGGCCTCATTAGTGGAGGCTGTGTTGACTTGGGCTATTTCTACCTAACCTTTACTAAGAAGGGATAGGCGGATCCACACCATAGAATTGTCACAAAATATGGAAGTACAAGGTCTTAGCAGTGATAGAGAATTTAGAGATGTTGCCTTGTACTTAGGATTTGATAAGAAATATAAATTATAGAAAGAAGGAAAATTTCTCATCTGATGAGTAAGAGGCTATATTGGGACCTTTGTGGTGTGTAAAGAGTGGCTGTTATACTAGGAATGGTCACAAATTTGATATTGGTTGCCACAGTCAAGAGAGGGTGGAGAAGTAAGCGCTTTCATTTAAATCAAGGTAGTTGGTGTATTGCCATAAATAAGTGTAATGGTGCCTCAATAACATAGGATCTTGCAAGTTTTGATTTTTTCATTTGATCTCTTTGTTTCTTATGACATTCTAAAGATTTGTATTTTTATTTTTAATAGCAATAATAAATAATATTTTTAATTTGTAGATTGAAATGTGAAGCATAAGTCAATTTATAAGAATGTTTTCAAGAAGAGTTATTACTTGATTTTAGTCTATGAAGATCTATTATTCTTAATATATATTTTTTTTACATAAAAGATACTAATTTTAGAATTATTATATTTTAAAAAATTATTTATTATTTATTATAATATATTAAATAATAACATTAAAAAGGTTAAATTATTAATTTTAGCTTAAATAGTAATGAATTTATTCTATGAATCAAAAAGAGTAGCTAATAATAGATTAATTTGTTGTAATTCAATGAAAATACAACTAACAATGGCAACTTCTTTGAAGATATATTGCCATTTTTTTATGAATGCATGAACATCTTCATTCTTGTCTATAGTTCAATGACAAAGTTTTTTTGTGGAAATGTACATAAGAAGCTTTATTTGATTATTTGTAAATATGATTGATGTAATTCCAAATTGCCTTTGATGTATGTAAGTTGTGTAGTGTCATAAGTTGTTTATTTCTACAATGTAGAAGTATTTCTACACAAGCTTTGATATCCTTCAAATTCCAAGCATGATGTTGCACCAAATTAAATGTATCACGTGCAACTTTAGAGCTATTAACTACTTCCCATAATTCTATTTGATTTAAGAGAACGTCCAATTTAATACTTCAAGTGCAATAATTATTTGTAAAAAGTGAAAAAGTAAGGGTATTAATGGAGTGCAAGAAAAATTATGAGAAGCCATAGTGTGTGGAGTATTTTACTTACACTAAGGGAAATGAAGGACAATTAGTGCTCTCATACTATGTAAGAGAAAGAACACTAATAATAATATAAAGCATGAAGTATATATAATAAAATAACTTGATTACATCATATTCATAAGAGCCTATTATATTGTCTTGTGTAGAGAAGTAGTTGTAACTTCTCCATAACTACTTTGTAACTACCTAAAATTAATTCTACATTTACTAACATGTATTAATTAATCTAATATATATTAGTAAATCTAACACTGAGGGCCCAATTCCAACGATTTTGGTACTAATCGCACACTGCATCACACAATTGGCGTTTCCGATTTCAGCCAGGAGGCTCGATGCTTCCAGGCTGTGACATGTTTTCAGGTCCCTTTCTCATCAATCCAAACCCCCACACTCACTGCACGAACATTAAAAAAAAACAACATCCACAACATTACTTACAACCTTTGTGTGGTAATCTCTCGACGTTGCGTCGCAGGAGAACCGGATCCTGCACAGGCAGTCATAAACTGCTTGGATGATGCGCACCAGCTTGTGGATCGTGCCATTTCGACCTGTCTACTAGGGAACAAGCCCGTGTACATCAGCATGAGATGCAACTTGGCCGGCACCGAGCACCCGTCCTTCACCCACAGCAGCATTCCTTACGCAATCAAAGAGCAGTAAGCCCCTCTCTCGTAAGAGCTTCATATCTTACAACTGGGTCACACACAATCTACGTCCCACACTACTACTACAAAAATCCATCCAGCTCCCTTCACGTCCCCCTATCTCCTGTGCTTGCTCCTGCTATTGCTCCCAACAGGAGAAGCAACAAAACCTCGCTCGAAGCAGCACTCGACGCCGCAGTCAAGATCCTGAACCACACTGTAAAGCCAGTCCTCGTCGGAGGACCGAAACTGCGTCTCGGCAAGGCCAAGGAAGCATTCCAGGAACTGGTGGAAGCGAGTGGATATGCCTACGCCACCATGCCGTCGGCGAAAGGCCAACCTCTAGAATCGCACCCGCACATCATTGGCACATACTGGGGCGCCGTGAGCTCACCATTTTGTCTAGAAATTGTGGAATCCGCCGACGCGTACATCTTCGTGGGGAAGATCTTCAACGCTTACAGCTCAGTGGGATACTCGTCGTTTCTGAAGAAGGACCACATGATTGTGGTGAACCCGGACCGCGTGCAGATATGCGGTAAAGCCGAGTTCGGATGCGTGCTGATGAAGGATTTTTGCATGGAGCTCTCGAAACGGATCACACGAAACTCCACATCTTTCGACAATTACAAGCGGATTCATGTCCCTAAGGGCACCATCCCCTCTTGCGGTGCTCAGGATCCACTGCGTGTTAATGTGCACTTAAAGCACATTCAGGTAGCTTTTCTGTTTGTGTTTTTCCACACGCATGAATACATTCATTGCTCAGATTTTGTGACATAAAGTGCATGAACTCTGTCTGTGCTTTACTAATACTGGATTGAAATCTAGCTCTTGATGTTGTAATTGTGTGTGTTTTGTATTACAGGTTATTGTTTGGAGAGGACTGGTTAGGAGACTAATATATTACCCAACATCGGTACTTCTAAGATTAATGTTGAAAAGACTCCAAGAACACGGCACGGCAATCTCCCTATGGCACGGCAAAGTATATGGCTCCAAAAGTATGATGATGAATTAAGACGAATATGTCCCTCTGAGGCAGATGTTTTTTTTTTTGTTTGCAATGACATATTCCGAGATTCTTTCAAAAGAAGAGCCATTTTGTGGGTCGGATAGAAAAGAAATACCAAAAAAAATATGAGAAGGAAATAGGATAAAATTGAATGAGTTGATTGAAGAATGTTGGCATTTGAATCCTTCACAATGTCCAAAATTTGGAGATATTTGTAAAAGAATTTTTAGACTTTACAATTAAAATCAAAGTTTTTAGTTAGACTTTACAAAGCTAAATACCTTATCTTTTATGCTCCTAAAAATAAAATTTATTATAGTAAAAAAAATAAAAAGAAACAAGAGATATTCAAGAGATAAAGTTTGTATTTATTATTGTTTTATTTCTTTGATTAGTTGTTTTTGAAATACAATTGATTTTAGTGGTTTAATAATATATAAAATTTGAACATGTATTTATATAAAATTATTTTAATACAATATGTTCAATATATAAATGTTTAGATTTTGTGATTGTGGTTGCTAATGTAGGCATATTTTAAAAAAGAAATATTACTATGTAAAAAAGGATACTCAAAAAAAAATATTAGAAATGGAAAAAAAATGTTGTAAAGGCATTATGTCTTATTAGCATGGGTAGAATAGACAAGGCATTACTAGCAAGGTCTACTTTCAATGACATGAAAAGTACTTATGATGCTTCATGCTTGGCTAGGAACATTAAAAATAATAGTGATAGCTATACAATCTCTTGTACCATTTTAAAATAATTTAAAATTGAAGGAAATCCAAAGACTTTGGATGATGCACAAATGTTGCTAAAATCATTTTTGAACAATTATAAAGCCATTATAATCTTAAACAATGTGAAGGATCAAAATCAAATTGAAAAATTTGTACTTATGGATGTTTTATGTAGAAGCAAAGATAGAATATTAATTGTAACTACATAAAATTTGAATTCTAAAAAGTATTATTTTATACAGTTTCACTAAATCTATATTAAAGGAATTGAAGAAGATACAAGTTTAGAGTTGTTTTTGACATATTCTCATAGAAACTAAGTTGAATTATCCAAAGAACTTAAGAATATAATTGAAATGATTGCAAAAGCGTGCAATGGCTTACCATTAAGTCTAAAAGTTATGGGATCATTCTTAAAAGGACAACAGAGGCTAAGATATTGAGAGAAAGCTTTACAAAGATTAAAAAAGATAGCATAAAGAAATTTGGGTGATTTTAAAAATAAGCTTTGATAACTTAAATCCTAAAATAAAAATATATTTTTAAACATATGTTGTTTTTTTGTTAGTGATGTTTTTTCACATGACATGTTGAAAGAAAGAGCATTGCAAATATGGAAAAAAAAAATAAAAGATTGGATTTGGAAGAAGATGTTGAATTTACATTAGAGACATTAATTTATTATTTATTGGTAAATATTGATGGAAATGGAATTATCAAACGACATGACCATCTAAGTGACATGGATTAAATGATAGTTGAAAAAAATATTATTTATGAAAGTACAAGAATATAGAACATGAATAGAGTATAAGGTTAGAAATTCTCAACAAAGATAAGTGACTTTATATTCTTGTAAATGAAATGAATAAAGCCAACTATGGTATTAATTTTTTTGCATGTAGTAATTATACATAGAATATTAAATTATAATAATATTAGATATTATATAAATATTTAAATTATTGTGAATTATTTGAAGTTGATATTAATTATTTAATTGCATTAAGTAAATTAAAGCATTTTAGATCTAAACTATAATTTACTTATGTTATATTATTTGACAATTAAAAGGTTTATATTATAACATGAAAAGAATATTATACCAAGTGACATTAGAGATGTAAATTTTCCTTCTTTTAGATTAATGATTTATATACTAGAAGAAAATATATTAAATAATTGCATTGAAATATGGAATATATTGTTATTATTGATAAAGGGCTCCAAAATATTAAAAGCACTTTTGCTATGTATGTCTACAAAAAGACTTGAATATAATGATATTTTACAAAAAAAGTCTTTTATAATTAGTAAAAAGTTATTTAGACAAAGTTAAAAGAAATAAAACTTTTACAATTGAAGAATTGTAAGTATATACAAACTTTTCCAAATTTATTTTTCACAATGAATGTATTGTTAGAACTTGATTTAGAAGGTTGTTTAAACCTAGAAATATTATTACAAAATATGCATAGTTTAATATCATTAAGGATCTTTAATTTAAAAGAATGTACAAGCTTAAAAGTACTACCAAAAGCATTAAAAAACTTTGTTTCTTTAGAATTATTAAATATAAGTGAATACATAAACTTACAAATCATTGTCAAAGGAATTAGACAACCTTAGATCTTTGACAAAGTTAGATATAAGTGGATGCTTAAACTTAATATTGTTGCTAAAGGAATTAAAAAATATTACAATTGAGATATGATTAGATATAAGTAAATATAGAATCTTGACATCATTGCTAGAGAAATTGGATAACCTTACATCTATGACAAAGTTAGATATAAGGAGATGCTTAAACTTAATATCATTGCCAAACGACTTAAGCAACCTTACATCTTTGACATGATTAAATATAAGTTGGTACTCAAATTTGATATCATTGCTAAAGGAGTTAGACAATTATATATCTTTGATATAGTTAGTTATAAGAGGATGCTCAAATTAGACATTATTATTAAAAGAGTTAAAAAAACCTTACATCTTTCATATTTTTTAAAATAAGAGAATGTTTAAAATTGACATTATTGCCAAAGAATTAAATAACTTTACATCATTGGCATAATTAGATATAAGAAGATGCTCAAATTTAACATCATTATTAAAAGAATTAAATAAATTTAAATATTTTTCAAAATTAAATGTAAGCCAATGCTTATAATTGATATTATTGCCAAGCAAATAAATTAATCTTAATTCTATGATGAAGTTTGATATAAAAAAATGCTCAAACTTAACTTCATTGCCAAAGGAATTGGGCACTATTACAATTTTGACATGGTTAGATATAAGTGAATGTAAAAACTTCATATCATTGTCAAAAGAATTGAGCAATCTTACAAATTTAACAAGAATAGATATTATTAGATGTAAAAACTTGATATCATTGTAAAAAGAATTGGATGACCTCATATCTTTGAAAAACTTAGATATAAGTGGATATTCAAATTTAATATCATTGCCAAAAGAGTTAGGTAATCTTACATTATTGACTTAATTAAATAAATAGATGCTCAAACATGACATCACTACCGAAAGAGTTAAGTAATATTATATCTTTGATATAATTAGATATAAGTTGGTGTTTAATTTTGATATCATTACTAAAAAAAATTAAGAAAACTTACATTTTTGACATAGTTAGATATAAGTAAATGATCAAAATTGGTATTATTACCAAACGAGTTTGACAACTTTACATTGTTGACATGGTTAGATATAAGTAGATGCTAAAATTTGATATTATTACCAAACAAGTTGAGCAACCTTACATCTTTGATAGATTTAGATATAAGTGGATGGCCATACTTGATATCATTACTAAAAGAATTGAGTATACATTGGATGTAGTGATTGTATATATAATATTAAATTATAGTAGTATTAGATGATTTGTTAATATATATATAATTATGAATAATTTGAAGCTGATATTAATTTTTACTTAGATCAAGTAAATAAAAATAATATTAGATTTAAACCACGATTTATTTGAATTATATTATTTGATAATTATAAGGATTATGTTGTAATAATAAAAAGAATATCATACCAAATAATAGTAGAGATGTATATTTTTTTCTTTTAGATTGTTGATTTATATATTAAAAATATATATATATATATATATATATATATATATATATATATTAAATGGTAGTAAATAAGTATAGAATATATGAATATTATTAATAAAAAGCTTTAACAAAAAAAATCACTATTACTATATATTTCTACAAATATATATATATATATATATATATATATATATATATATTGATAGTTTATAATTTATTCTTTTTTATGATTAATAAGAAAGATATTTTAAAAAAATTAAAAAAAAAATCTATTTTATAAAAAAAAATTATAAAACTATAATAAAATTATAATAAATTTATTATTAAAACTTAAAATAAAAAATTATTTAAAACCCAAAATATTACGACAAAATATGTACAACTTAAAATTTTTAAGATCCTCAACTTACAAAAATATAAAATCTTAAAGATACCACATAAGTACTACTAAACTTTATTTCTTAACAATCTTACATCTTTGACAAAATTACATTTAAAAAGATGTTCAAATTTGATATCATTGCCAAAAAAATTAAAAAGCTTTACATCTATGATAAAACTTCATATAAATTAATTTTCTAATATTAAATTAATACCAAAAATATTGAGCAATCATATATCTTTGTTAGAATTAGATACAAGTGGATGCTTAATTTTGACATCATTACTAAAGAGATTTATAATCTTACATTTTTTATACAATAAAATATAGTTAGATGCTAATACTTGATATCATTGCTAGAAGTATAGACATTCTTAGATATAAGTGTATATAAAGCTTTTTAGTTAAGGTTGTTAAATATTTAAGCATATAAGGTTTAATTTTTGAAATTATTAGATATAAATGCATATTCAAATTTTACATCACTTTTGAAAGAATTAAATAATATTACATCTTTAATAAGATTAAATATATATTTTTTAAAAAATTTAACATCTTTGTAAAAGAAATTTAGTAATCTTACATCTTATATATAAATAAATGCTTAAACTTGACATCATTTCTAAAGTTTTTGAGCAACCTCCCATCTAAAACATACTTTTATACAAGTAGAAGA